TGGAATGGAATGGAGTGGAGTGGAGTGGAGTGGAGTGGAGTGGAGTGGAGTGGAGTGGAGTGGAGTGGAATGGAATGGAATGGAATGGAATGGAATGGAATGGATGATATGGAATGAATGAAACGGAATGAGTGAAAAGGAATGAATGAAATGGAATGAATGAAGTGGAATGAATGAAGTGGAATGAATGAAATGGAATGAACGAGTGAATGAATGGACGAATGAACGAACGAATGAATGGCTGGATGACTGAATGACTGAATGAATGAATGGGAATGAATGAACGAATGAATGAATGAATGAATGAATAATGAATGAATGAATGAATGAATGAATGAATGAAATGAATGAATGAAATGAATGAATGAATAAATGAACGAATGAATGAATGAATGAAAGAAAGAATGAATGAATGAAACATTGGATGAAGGAATGAAACATTGGATGAATGGGTGAATGAATGGATGGATGGATGAACGACTGACTGAAAGAAAGGAAGAATGAATGAGTGCATGGATGGATGGATGGAATGCAAAGAACGGATGGGTGGAAAAAATGGAAGGAATGGAAGGAATGCATGAATGAATGAATGAATGAACGAATGAATGAATCATTGACTGACCGACTGGCTGACTGGTTGACTGACTGACTGACTGACTGACTGACTGGATGGATGGATGGATGGATGAATGGATGAATGGATGAAAGGATGAATGGATGAATGGATGAATGGATGAATGGACCAATGACTGACTGACTGGCTGGCTGGCAGACTGACTGAATGAATGAACGGATGGATGACTGGATGAACGGATGAACGGATGAATGGATGAATGGATAAATGGATGAATGGATGAATGGATGAATGGATGAACGAATGAATGACTGGCTGGCTGACTGACTGAATGAATGAATGGATGGATGAATGGATGAACGGATGAATGGATGAATGGATGAATGGATGAATGGATGAATGACTGACTGACTGGCTGGCTGGCTGGCTGGCTAGCTGACTGAATGAATGACTGACTGACTGACTGACTGAATGAATGAATGAATGAATGAATGGATGAACGGTTGAATGGAACAATGAATGAATGGATAGGTGGATGGATGGGTGGATGAATGGATGGATAGGTGGATGGATGGGTGGATGAATGGACGAATGAATGGATGAATGAATGGATGAAAGAATGAATGAATTGAACTGAGTTGGATTGGATTGGATTGGATTGGATTGGATTGAACTGTTTGAATGAATGGTTGTTTGCATGAACTGAATTGTGTTGAGTTGAGTTGAACTGAGTTGAATCAATTTTGAATTGAATTGAATTCCACTGACTTGAGTTGGATTAAGATTAAGAGTAAGAGACAAAGAACGAGTGGATGGATAGATGGATGAAATGACATGACATGACGTGACATGAAACGAGATGAGACGAGATGAATGAAGGTAGTTGAGTGGAACTGAATGGAATTGAATGGAATTGAACTGAACTGAATGAAGAATGAATGAATGAATTGTTGAATGAATCAATGAATGAATCAATGACTGAATGCATGAATACATGCATGCATGCATGCATGGATGGAAGGATGGATGGATGGATGGAATGGAATGATGGATGGATGGATGGATGGATGGATGGATGGATGGAAGGAATGGAAGGAATGCATGAATGAATGAATGAACGAACGAACGAACGAACGAACGAAAGAAACGCGAGCGAACGGAATTAATTAATGAATGAATAAATGCATCATGGATGGATGGATGCATGGATTGGACTGAATGAATGGAATGAATGAATGGAATGAATGAATGCATGAATGAACGGAATGAATGAATGGAATGAATGAATGGAATGAATGAATGGAATGAATGAATGAATGGAATGAATGGAATGAACGGAATGAGTGGAATGAATGGAATGAATGGAATGAACGGAATGAATGGAATGAATGGAATGAATGGAATGAATGGAATGAATTGAATGAATGAATGAATGGATGGATGGATGAATGAATGAATGAACGAATGAGTGAATGAGTGAATGAATGAGTGAATGAATGCATGAATGAATGAATGAATGAACGAATGAATGAATGGATAATTGTTGGACGACAGTAACCAACCCAACCGTTCAACCCCAGTCCATGGTGGTCGCTTTTCTTGTATGTTTCATTCAGTGTCGAAACGGTAGTACTGCACACCAGACCGCACAGCACGCGACGTTTCCAGCAGCAGCTGACATCAGCTGTGTCGGGCATCGCTGTTGTAAAGGCCATCGTTGATGCTTTCCTGCGGTTTCTCTCTGGTGTTCTCCGGCGTATTGCGTTTCATCACGTTTGTGCCATTACATTGACACATTTTCTTTTGGCAAAGCAACAGTCTAGCTGTATGGACATGCCGCATCGCTCATCTCGGTAGCCACGCGTATTCAAAGGGGAGGATGTATTGAATCCTTTCGCTGATACAAAAACTGGTGGCATTCATGGTACTGATATGCGTATGCCAGCTCTTTTCTGGGGTCGTTGCTGTCCGAAAGGAGCCAGTTCGAAGAGCGCACAGAAGGGCAAAGGGCCACCCCCTCCGAAAGGAGGCACGAGAGGCTGACATGTTTTCGAGTAAAGATTCGAAGTGGGACCGGGAGGCGCAAAGGGAGCTTTTTCAGCACCGCCGGCTCCCGGGAAGGGCAAGGTGAAAGGCAAGCCCGCTCCTCCGAAGGCCTTTCTGGTACCATCATGTCGTTTCGCAGACTGTGGATCGATGGTAGACCTTTGTGAGGCTCCACCGCGAGCAGGAGCAAAGGTTGGACTGATGTCCTGCATCGTTCGCCCACTGTGGCGCCGTGTCGCATTGATGCTTGCTTGGGTGCAGGCTGGGCTCACCAAGGAAGCACATAATCCGAGAAAGGCTGGGAAGACATCGGAAGACCATGACATCACACGACATGTCAAGTATGCGCACACAAAGGAAGTTGTGGCCAGCAAGTCTTCAGTCTTTGCCGTGTAGCTCCAACTTACACTCCGCTATCCAGGCAGAGATTCAGCCACGACTTCCCATGAAAAAGCTCTTCTGGAACGCTTTCGTGTGGGTTTCCCAGACAGCTGTAACATGCTCTCGCGGAAGCCACGCTTCGGTTCAGAGGGTGTTGCAGAGGCTGGACGACGAGCACCTCCGAAGCTGTGAAAATGCTCGGAGCTCATCAAACGACTATCTTGAAATTCAATTATCGTAGCAATCGTAGCAATGGATGAGACCACTTCTCACTGCAGGTATGGGCAGCAATCGAGAAGGAGAATGCAGACCTCTACAGCTTCGACGTGCAGGACTGATCTCTGTGAGCCAGCTCTGGCCTACGAGGCCTATGCAATATGGATTGTCTATGTCTGTTGACTCTCGACCACATGTCTGCCAGCAGGAGCTGGAACAGCTTTTTTCGGAAACGTGGGCTGCTGAGTTACTGCGGAGGAGTTGGGATCGGCGACTGATGAGAGTCGGTAGGTTGGCTTGATGCTGTCTCAGGTCGTCTCGCTCTGGAGTGCAAACTCCCGTGTCACACGGAGCGCAACATGTCACAGATGTCGCAATGCTAGTGTTGGTACGGTGGGTTTCTGCAGAAATATCTAGGTGAGCAGTGAGCACATTCAGAGCCGCTTGGCTGTGCTTGGTATGTTATGCAACGGCAGGTCTAGGAAATTCAGTATAGGGTCCTTGCAGGTTATAGCTAAGGAATGCAAGATACTCTTAATGGCTGCCAAAAGTAGCAGGCAGCAGTTTAGCAGACAGACATCGGGCCTTGGTTATGCAGTCACATGCTGTCACTAAGTGTCCACAAGCTTTGGTCATCGATGATGCTTTTGGGCGCCTGACATGCATGGCTGCAAAAGTGATTCCACAGGAGTCGGGGTTGAGTCCCGTACATCCCGTACAGAACGGTATCATCCGGCCCTGCACCTCGTGCGGGTTCGCGTGTCCACGCTTTCCCCTCGAGACCCTCGGCCTTCGGCGTGCTGGCTTGCCAGGTACCTGTTCTGTGTCCATGTCTGCTGGTCTTGTTTTCAGAGCTATTCAAGCTATTGAGGTGTGCTTAACGAAACTTTGCAAGTGCAAGCTACCGCGTACTCTGCAGTACGCAGCGAAGGAAACAGAGAAGAAAGGTCGTACTGAAAGATCGTATATCACGTCTTGCAAGTTGTGCCACAAACTTTCCAGCAGCCCGGCAGGCATACGGACAGGTGCGTTGTTATGCGAGGTCCTAGAATGCCAAGGGGAGTGGTGTGGTATGATGCTGTTGGGCAGTGCCATGGCCACTTCAATTTCACAACGTTTCTGCACATCAGCTGGCCAAGGGTTTTGGGGCAGCCCTCAGGACCAGATATCAATCCGAGCAGGCAGCTTGTTGCGAGTATTGGTTCAGTTTCCTACGAATTCAATGTTCTGGGTTCGGCAGCCCGCCATCCACATGTAGTCCTCGAAACAGTCTAGGTTCTGGCTGGTGCGAGTCAAGCTTCCCTCTTGAAGACAGAAATCATAATACTATGGACCCTGGAAGCTAAGACTACGAGATACTTCAATTCTCTGCAGTCTGCGGTTCAGGTGTGAACATGTCTGCTGTCGGCAGGAGGCAGCTCAGCGGTGCACCGACGAACCAGACTCAGAGCAAGAGTGTTTGAGGAATCCCGCCGTCGACAGGCGACTGGGTTTTCCTGGGATAGGGTAGGAAGAAGCCAGATTCGTGGTAGGTCTGCATAATGCTTGCTCGACTCCCGCCGGTAGAGACGACCGTGGGCTGCTCAGACAGTCAGATGGAAGCGGCGGAAATGCGCCCTGCGAACCGTGACCCAGGTCAAAGCGATCCATGACATGGATGATGATTGCTTGGACAAGGACCAGGCCCTAGGCTCGATGGCCACCTGATGACAGCATGTCGGCTTTGGCAGATCCTAAGGTGGAGCTTCTCCTGGCGACAGCACCTACTGCAGAAGTGCAGACCTTGGCGGCACGAGCAGTACCTATGCTAGGTTGTGATTATGCCACATTGGCACGCGTGAACGACACCCCGTCCACCAAGTGTGCACAGTGAAATCTCGCCCCGATGCCTGAATACATAGATGTGCGTGGTATCCGTGTCTGCGTGACTGATTTCATAAAAACTAGGGTGAGTGCTGGCGGTCGACAGTCGGCGCACAATGGCCTACCGGCAACCGCCGGCAATTCTGCATGTTGGATTTCATGTGTGCTGAAGTGCTGACAGCGTGTCTCAGGAGCTTACCATGCTTCATGCTGCAGCGAAGGAGATGCCTGAGAAGGCGAGGAGCAGATGGTCACGGATGGCATAGACCAGTCATAGACCTAGACCTCGCTGAGAGGCTTCCCTGCCCTGGGATGATGCTGAAGATTTTGTGTGGAAACTTGCCGAGGCAAGAAGTGTCTCAGTTGTGTGGTCTCGCATCGTGGATTTGACTTGGTTTCATGTGATGTGGAGCTGAGCCCGGTGCAGGTGGGACACTTCCTAGTAAGACTCCAGACATGGTCCTTTGAGCCTGCCATGCCTGATTGTCGCGGTTCCCCGGCATTGCTTGGCCCCCTGAGCAGATGACAGGAATGCCTTCGAAGAGCGCTTTCACATCTTCCACTCGGCCGTGACGGAAGTCAAGGATGTCAGAGACCTTTTCAGATTCGAGGGAACCAGTGGGTGGTCCCAAGCACCAACAGAAAAGCTTTCGCTCTTCAGGCGTGCCATGCGCTAAGAGATTCGCACAGGATTCCAAGGCCGGTGGGCCGACCTTCGCCAGCATGCAACCTGCCAGTAGGTCTAGCTGATTCGATGGAAGAGCCTTGGAAGCCGCAGCGCATGCAGGCTGCTGGGCATCACTCTTAATGTGGGCAATTACTTGAATGTCGAATCCTTAGAAAGCCCCCTGGCCGCTACTTTGCCGGTGCCTGATGGGTCGAGGCCGGAACATCTCGAGGCAGAGCCGATGGTTTCTCTGTCGAGGCACTTTCCGTCGGTTTCCGGTCACGCAGGCGCATGTAGTACCGCATGTAGATCTGAGACAGCGAAGCGATGGTAGAGGACCCAAGAAACGCAACGGAGTTATTCGTCAGCGTCGCGACTTGGCAACCCTCGCTGCCAATGACTGGCAAGGTTTTGTCTCAGATGCGGGCATTGAAGGGCCAGGCTCTGTGCAGCACCGGCGGCTTGTGGTTGTTGGGGAAGAGTTTCAGAGCCAAGCACTAGGATTTAAGAGTATCAGTGTTGCAGATGCCCGTCTGAAGCCTGCTATGCAGGCAGCATCGTCCAGCTCTGCGAGCACATTGCTGGACTTCGTGGTGACCCTCGCACATCTGCAAAGGAAGTCAGGGCTTTCTGTGCTTGGGAAGCAGCGCTGAGCTGTGGAAGCTGCGCTCTTCTCTGTGCAAGGCAACATCAGACACGCAGTGACGAGGTTTTCAGACGCATCACCCGATGGCGTGTGCATGCAGGTGTTTGTTTAGGCAGACGGCGGCTGGACAAAGACGAAACAAACCGGACAATTGTGGACACTTACAATCCCTAGGCGGAGAAACTTGGCCAGGTATCATTTATCAGTTACGTTTTCGCAATGCTGAATGCCCGGTTAGATTTTAGGCCAAACTGCTCGAGCGTCTTTCTGAAGAAAGGCATATAGCGGTTATCACTGAATGGACGTGATGCCCGCACATAGCACTGAACCTCGTCAGGTACGTCAAGCAGAACGCAGCAGGCCAGGCGAGCTTCTTCAGCTGTTTGGCGAAGTTGGTGAGGCCGGGTTGAGGCAGTTTGTGGCTTAAGCATTGCATGGCTGCTTCGTCTCCTGCCAGGCAACGCTGGTTCAGAGAGCGTTCCGTCACAATCTGAAGGAGCTGTCCTTGGAGTTGACTGCCTATTGCGTCCAGGTGCCTGGGATACTTTAAATGCGACTCACCCGTTTAAAGAGCACGCGGCTACATCTGCAGGCCCGTGGCCTGGCAAGGCAGGGCGTCGCATCGTGTTGGGGCCGGTCAGCTTGTTTCAGAGCAGATGGCACAGGATCGTTGGCCACTCCGTCGCATGACAAATGTGCTTCATGCAGTTGTGTCACAGGAAGCCAGCAGCACGCATGGGATGCTGGCATCATGTTCCAGCATGCAGTCGAGATAAACACAACGCGGAGTCTTATGGGGGTCGCGGCGAATCGCGTGGGAACTCACGTCCACCTGGAACCACATGTAGACTGCGGCTGTAAAGCATAACAGGCCTTTTTCGCCCATCCACCTGACTGCGTGCAAAGGCAAAATGTGCCCACGAAGTCTTGGGCATGTGCCCCATCCTTCCGTGCGGTATCGACCACGAGTCGTCTCTGAACCATGTCAGAGCTGCTGCTACAGTAGGTCGTCCTGCGAGTACCTTTTGTTCTACGTAGTTCCAAGCATATCAACTAAACAGTGTGCTGGAGTGCTGTGAGACTGCACACATGAACAGGCAGTCTTCCAACGGTGATGATGTTCTCAAAGCTCGAGCAGGAAAGGTGGAGGCGAATTTTTGTGCAGCGAACTTCTTCACTCCCAGCGGGATCGCAGCGGAAGCGTTGTGGTAACAGCTCTGCCGAACTGCCGAAGCTGTGCTGGATGGCATTTCCCGGACTGTGCTGCTCTTTCTCAGGCTCACTTGAGAGATTTGGCACAAACCTTGGATTGAGCAATTTGACTTTCGACTTGTCGAGTTTGCCACGTGCCCTCCTTCCAAGGAAACTTTGCAAAGGCTGTTCGTAGAAGCCGAGGAAGACTTCAACAGTGTTAGCGACACAGCCTCAGCGTTCGTTCGGGATGTTTGCACGTTGTGGCCTTGCAGATGCAGGATATGCTCTTTTGATGCAGACACCTCTTGTGATGTCAGGCGTGGTTCCACGAAGGCTCTGGAAAGAAGCCGGCACCTCAAGGGAAAGAGTAAGATGAAGGTGTCCGCTTGTTTATCTTCTCGTCTGGTTCGTATTTTGAACGTTACGCTGAACCGAACCAAGCTTTTCACACTTTCGCGTGGGCGTACTCAAACGAGAAAGGAGAACAAGAATGAAATTCTCTGATATTGCCATTGAACTCTGTTCACTGTTTCGTTCAAGCTTACTTGTTTGTGTGTCCTTGTTCACGGTTTACATGCCGTGAACATGAGGTGGTGCGTGTCTGTGTTTGTGTGCGTGTGCGTGTGTGTGTGTGTGTGGGTGTTCTATAACTTCATTCACCGCACCATCATGACGATGACCATTCCATATTGAAGGCAGCACAGCGCGAAGCTGTTATTCCATTCGTAGCCATGCCTTCGCTTCGCTTCTTGGAACATAGGCTTCCAGTGAGGCCCAGACCTCCAGACGAATTCTTCGGCTACTGGCACACCTTCTTCCAGGTTGGAATCTATAACTCCCTGTCACACACGAGTTGTATAGACTCTGCAGGGAATTCGCTCCACATTGGAGGGGCCGGGCACATGTTCAAGGGTCATTTGACCGGCCAGCTGTTGCAATGTTGAGCGGCTGAGGATGTATGCTGGTAAGAAGCGTCGAAAAGCCCCACGATCACGAGTCCTGCGTCCTTTGGATCAGATGGCAAAGTCCAGAGCCTAGACGCAGGCAGAACTCATCCCTCGGCTTGTGTTCTGCAAGCAAGGTCGCTCTCATTGAGTGAAGCCGTCCAGGTGGGTTGTCGTCGGCTTTTCGCCTGTTAGTCCTATGCCGTGCAACGGTGGCTTAAACCGGCCCTGGCTGGAGAAGACTTATTGGAGCCAAAGCTTAGTCGTCTAAAGGCCGAAGCAACCAATTGGCACCGGAATTCTTTGCAGCAGTGTCCTCAAGCAAAGCTGAAACTGATAAGCCGATTAGACTGGCGAATTTGGACATCTCGTCAGCTTGACTGCGAGCAGGACCTAAAAAGCTGAGGCAGTGACCCGGGCTACCTGAGTGCACATCCGAGCGGGCCTGGCTACTCTTTTCACACGAGCTTTCCGAAGCTTCGATGTTACAAGAGCAGCTGGCGCTGGATGTGTGCAAAAGATGCTCTCCTGTTCTCCGAAACTTGAGACGTGCGGCTGAAACGGCATGCTGTGCGATTCATGTTCAAAGCTGCTGTCAGCTTGGTTTGTTGCGACTTTGCTTGGACATGCCGGGACAGCTCACCGTGTGACCATGCTATTGAAGTCTTTGTTGCTAGTGCTGATGTGAAGTCACACGATCTCTGATTTGAAGGGGTCCGCTAGAGGCTTGCCATACCTTACTTTGACCTTTTATCACCATTTCGGGCATGCTTTCGAGCCTTGACTCGCCGGCCGAATGTCACGGCCTGTTCTGATGCAGCCTCTTTTGGCATGTATCTGCTTGAAAAGAGGGTAGAGCGATTGGCCTGCAACACTAGGTCTGCCAATGCCAATCCTGCCCATCTCCTCTGGCCGCTGCCTTCCTTCTGCCCTTTGGTCGTCCTTAGCGCCATCTGAAGTCGGAGCTCGCTGTCGAGGCAAGAGCGTGTGGACAAGGAGAGGAAGCTGGCCAAGAGGTCGCGAGATGCTGCGAGCATGCTTGAATTCAACAGGTGCTGTCTTTGCTGCATGACAAGAGGCAGATCATGAAGCAGCTTGTCCTGGATGGCTGGGCAATAATTGTGAGTGTGTTGTGCACCAGAGTTGTGAGCATTTGTCGCAACGCAGGCGAGGAGCAGAGGGACGCAGAGCCGGAAGCACCGCATCGACCTCAGCAGATCAACTACCGAGTGCAGGTATTTGAGCAAGTGCGGTTTCAGACCAAGGCCATTGCACGATTTGCATCAGTGCATGCATGGGACTTGGCTTCGCAGCATTTCTGGTGTGCTGGTGCCCGAGAAGTGTCACATCGAAAACTGACGAGGTCCTTGCCGGCTCTAGGACCATGTGAGTTGCTGCGCTTCTCGTAGTGACAACGCAGAGTCACTCACTCTTCGACGGTTCAGTGTGTCGTGGCCAGATGCAGGAGCATCGAGCTTCACACCCATGCTTCCGAAGGTGCCTCACACTGTGGATTCTCGCTTGGGCAATACTGTTACCATGCGAACTTGTGAAGTCGAGCATTGACAGATTGGGACTTCGGCGTCGTTGCCTCAGTGCAGCAGGGTGTAGGCGTGTTGCAGATACTGGTAGTGCAAGAATGCTGATCACCCGTTTCTGTCATGTGAGTCATATCGCAATGCTTCGCAGAGTCGCTGGCGATGAGTGCTCCCATGTCCTACTTCGCCAAGGTCCAGAAGCATGACAGGTAGGCGACCTGGCAGCACCGTCAGGATCCAAGATTCTGTGTAGTTCTATACAAGAGTTCCTCCTGTCCTGCGGTGATTGAGCTTCGATGTTGTTCAACTCTGCTACACTTGCACATGATGTGTATCTAAGCCCACGCCCCCTTTTGCGCAGAAGACAGATTTCTCCCGACCGTTCAGAGGTTCAGGAGCTCTCTCGTGTCAGTCTGTCGGAATCTCATGAGGCTAGTGTCGCCTCACTGCGAAGCGCATTCCCGGCAAAGTGTTGTTTTTCCGACACCGTCGGGCTTCAAGAAGAGGCAGTCCTGGTTGCAGGCTCAGCGAAGACCAAGTCAATCAGCTTCGAGGTGAGCCGAAACAGGTGATTGAGCTTCCATGTAGCGATTGCTTTGTTCAGGAGTTCTCTGACGGGTTTGACGACGGCATCTCTTCGCAAGGAGGACCTCCCGCTTTGCATCAAGCTGCGAGCCGCTGCGAGCCCAAGAGGGCAATGCCTCATATGCAGGTACAAGATGCCGTTGCAGCCGAGGCGAGGAGAGGAGGGATATAGGAAGGCTTCAAATGCGCGTCCGTCTGTCAAACCTGTCCACCACTGTCCACCACTGTTGGTCAGTAGAGAGAAAGAGGAAAGAGCGAGAGCCGCCTGGGCGGCAGGGAAGGACAGAGAGAATGTCTTGGGAGCAGCCATGTTTGGAGGGTTGCGCCCGCTTATTGTTAAGGTTCCTTGAGTCTCAGACCTGTGGGGCCACAGCGGATTGGCAGCTTGGGCTCGCATGGCGGCCATTCTGCTGGTAAAACAAAACCGAAGCTGACATGTAAAGTCAGCAGACGCGCTAGCTGTCTGTCAGTGTGGCTGAAAGCCGAAAACCACAAGCAACACAACATTAGATTTCGTTTCGCAAACTCGGTGAGAAAATCAAATGGTCTTAACACATCTTAGCACTACAGTGGTCGGCTGCCCGAGCGGCGTCCTTCATTCGAGAAAACCCCAAGACTCACCTCTTGTAGCCTTTGCCTGAAGGCTGCTGGCTCACAGTGCGGGATTGTTCTAACAACCTGGACACGGCCAGTACCCGTGGTGAGTGGAACTGGCGACGGCTGCAAAAAGAGCGTGAAACGCATTGTCTAACTCCACCTGGCGGGCAAGGTATTCGCTACAACAAGGACACCGCTGTCGCATCCACACTGCCGCAGGTATCAACATGTTCTCGGAACGAGTTCGACAGCAGCGAGAGCGAGCACCTGAAGCTCCAAATGCAAAACATGGTATCCACAAGCGCGATGATCGCACGCATGGTGTCGGCTGTAATGAAAATGCCACCCGCAGTGTAGTTCTTGATCATGAACTCAAACAACCCAAGCCCAGGTTCTGGAATCGGGAACTGTTGAAAACTGAGCGATGGATCTCCGAGGACTCCGACAGGCTCCGTTGGCAAGCACTTGACATTGACCTGGTCGCAACCATTGAGCGCGAGCAGCAACCCCAGGATCACAGCCAACCAAAGTGTCACAAGACATGATCCCTGCAATTCCAGACACAAATCAACCTTTGTCAGGAATACAAGTGTCATGACCATACCCGTTTCGCCCAAAAGGAAGCGGGAAGCTCGTGTTGCCCGGATCGCCGCGACCGATCTCCGACAGTTGCCGGCTTGATGCCGTGATTGACCTCGTTTACCATGTCAGCATCAGCCGTTGAGCAAGCATCAGCAGCAAGCCGGTCGCGCCAGATGTCTGAGCATAGCATAGAAGTCCTAGAGCCATCTTGCACCAGAGTTCCCAAACATGACGACACCGACGACACTTGCGTCCCCAAAGACGACTTCTCACAGCAGGGGAAGGGGGGTCACCTGTGTCTT